TCCAGAAATTGGTGCCGCATTTGGTTTAATGTATTTCTTTACCAATGCTATTATGGTCTCATTAAGTATCAGTGGCAATTCTATTATCGTTCTCAATATCTTACAGGTTTTTATTTCAAGAAAATGTGAACAGTATAATTTTTAAATTCTTAACCATTTCTAGAATATGAACATAAATATACTAGAAAATGGTTCCGATTTAGACAATCAACGAATAATTGGCTTAATAACTTTAGTCATAGTATCTGCCATACCATTCATTAGTCTCGACTTTGAAGCTAAAGTATGAACAGTGTTAGTTTATAGATTCATTGATAATGTGGTTGCTTAAAAAGACATTTGATTACAGACTCAATGGATTTTGTTCACAATAGTAGTCCTTGCATTCGCAGACTTTATTATCGGAGCATTTTTACCGCCGACTGAGTATCAAGAGGTCAATGGGTTTGTGGGATGGAGTGGCAGCTGTTTCACCACAAATCTGTTGCCCCAATGGAATGGATATACATTCTTCACCATGTTCTCCATCTATTTGTCTGGACTTTGTGGTGACTTTACTGGAGTTACTATGGCTTCAAGCGTACGAAATCGTATGTCGTATGAAAACACATCACTACTGTATTATTAATAAAGCATTTATTCTTAAAATAATTTCTTTGAAATGATTAGCAAAAGTATCGATACCTAAAGGGTCGCTGTTAGGCATATTCACAACTCAGTTGTTATACGTCATACAAATGATTTGGTTTACATCGACGTCCAATCGATACGCCACCGGAAATTTGGCTGATTATCAATATAACAACTATACCTGTGATTTGCAACAGAATTGTGTCAGTGGGTGCAGCAACAACCCCTATATGATGTCCATTATGTCTTCATTTACATACTTTACGAACCAAACCCATCACATCGAGCCTATATTTTCTGCCGGACTTTTGTCACAATCCATGTCCTCAGCTATGATTGCCTTTATAAGTGCGCCCAGAATGTTACAGGTCATATAGCAATTCTCAATTTAATTCATAATTAGCTATCATAGAGTCGTTTTCATAGCTTTCAATAAGTTATAAGTTATAACTTATATCTATATTTAGTCCCTAGGATTTGATGAGTTGTTACCGTATATCAAATGGTTTTCTAAGCCCTATGGAACACACGCCGACCCTCGAAGGGGTTATATTCTGACATTTATTGTATCGGTTATATTTGTCGGTATTTCTGAATTTACAATATTGGCCACAATTACATCCATTTGCTACCTGTGCGCCTGGGGCTTGGTTAACGTAGCGTGTTTTCATTGCGATTATGTCAAGGGTTCTGATTGGAGACCTTTATTCCGATATTATAACAAATGGTGTAGTCTTTTGACTGGATTAGTTTGTTTCGCTTTTATGTTTGCCATTGAATGGTATATAGGGCTGGCCCTTACCATTTTTATGGTCATCATCTATATAATTATGATTATACGAAAGTCAAGTATGTATTATTATTAAATACGGAAATTACTGTATGCTTTACAAATGTTTTACAAATGCTTTACAAATGCTTTTAAATATTCATTAATTTAGAGGTCAGTTGGGGAGAAACACCTATCTCTCAATTATATAAAACTACTGTTTCTTTGGGCCATAAACTGAACCGACATCCGGAACACACCAAGACATTTAGACCATCAGTATTGCTATTATCTGGAGTTCCCATGAATAACAAAGAGTTAATATTAATGGCCGATCATATCACAAGACACCGAGGAATGCTATTTATTGGCGATATTGTGTGCTCTGATTTGGCATCTGATTATCGGCTCAAAGCAACTTCTGTATGGAATCAATGGTTTACTGATAACAAAATCAAATGCTTTTATAAATTGGTAACTGCAGATACAATTGGTGCTGGCTCCAATATGTTAATACAGGTTAGAACATAATAAATGACATTTATTTTGCTAATTATATGAATTGTTATAAAGTGTTGCGGTTTTGGAAATAATTTGAGTCCCAATGTAGTAATGCTTGGATTCCGGAACTCATGGAAACAGTGCACTAACGATGAAATCGTTGACTATTTTACTATAATTCAGTGAGAAATATGAATTCATATGAATAATTAATTAGTAAATATATTAAATAATTATAAAATCTAATTAATTATATATTTGGCAGTCAAGTGTTTGAAATGCGAAAGTCATTAATTATTTATCGCGACCACAAAAAGAGTAAACATTTTATAGAGAAACAAAAGGATGAGATTAGAGTGAATACTGACACTAATAATAATAATAATAATAATAATAATAATAATAATAATAATAATAATAATAATTTGATTGCAAAGCTATCGAAACAGTTGGGAATTATGAATGCCGGCTTAAATGCAACTACACTGAGAGGGGTATCCAAGTTGTCATTTATTGATATATATTGGCTCTACGATGACGGGGGTCTCACTCTTCTCATACCTTATATATTATCGGAGAGAAAAAAGTGGAAAAAATGCAAATTAAGGATATTTGTGATCGTTGATGAAGAATCTAATGATATCATAAAAATGGTAAGGGCCAGCCCTATATACCATTCAATGGCAAACATAAAAGCGAAACAAACTAATCCAGTCAAAAGACTACACCATTTGTTATAATATCGGAATAAAGGTCTCCAATCAGAACCCCTGACATAATCGCAATGAAAACACGCTACGTTAACCATACCCCAGGCGCACAGGTAGCAAATGGATGTAATTGTGGCCAATATTGTAAATTCAGAAATACCGACAAATATAACCGATACAATAAATGTCAGAATATAACCCCTTCGAGGGTCGGCGTGTTTTCCATAGGGCTTAGAAAACCATTTGATATACGGTAACAAATCATCAAATCCTAGGGACTAAATATAGATATAAGTTATAACTTATTGAAAGCTATTATAGCTAATTATTAATTAAATTGAGAATTGCTATATGACCTGTAACATTCTGGGCGCACTTATAAAGGCAATCATAGCTGAGGACATGGATTGTGACAGAAGTCCGGCAGAAAATATAGGTTCGATGTGATGGGTTTGGTTCGTAAAGTATGTAAATGAAGACACAATGGACATCATATAGGGGTTGTTGCTGCACCCACTGACACAATTCTGTTGCAAATCACAGGTATAGTTGTTATATTGATAATCAGCCAAATTTCCAGTAGCGTATCGATTGGACGTCGATGTAAACCAAATCATTTGTATGACGTATAACATCTGAGTTGTGAATATGCCTAACAGCGACCCTTTAGGTATCGATACTTTTGCTAATCATTTCAAACAAATTATTTTAAGAATAAATGCTTTATTAATAATACAGTAGTAATGGGTTTTCATACGATTTCGTACACTTGAAGCCATAGTAACTCCAGTAAAGTCACCACAAAGTCCAGACAAATAGATGGAGAACATGGTGAAGAATGTAAATCCATTCCATTGGGGCAACAGATTTGTGGTGAAACAGCTGCCACTCCATCCCACAAACCCATTGACCTCTTGATATTCAGTCGGCGGTAAAAATGCTCCGATAATAAAGTCTGCGAATGCAAGGACTACTATTGTGAACAAAATCCATTGAGTCTGTAATAAAATGCCTTTTTAAGCAACCACATTATCAATGAATCTATAAACTAACACTGTTCATACTTTAGCTTCAAAGTCGAGACTAATGAATGGTATGGCAGATACTATGACTAAAGTTATTAAACCAATTATTCGTTGATTGTCTAAATCGGAACCATTTTCTAGTATATTTATGTTCATATTCTAGAAATGGTTAAGAATTTTAAAATTACACTGATAACATTTTCTTGAAATAAAAACCTGTAAGATATTGAGAACGATAATAGAATTGCCACTGATACTTAATGAGACCATAATAGCATTGGTAAAGAAATACATTAAACCAAATGCGGCACCAATTTCTGGATACATTTTCTTGAAATAAAAACCTGTAAGATATTGAGAACGATAATAGAATTGCCACTGATACTTAATGAGACCATAATAGCATTGGTAAAGAAATACATTAAACCAAATGCGGCACCAATTTCTGGACCCAAGTTTCTAGATATCAAATAATACATGCCACCAATACCTAAATTTCCATTAGTCAGCAGGGCAACTAAGGACAATAATGTTCCCGATAGTATTGCAGTTCCGATCACTATTTGCACTAGAGCTAGAACTGAGGCACAGAATATTACAATTAAATACAGTTCAATAGATATTCAATTTATGAGCACAAGTACTCACTCAGACCGGACTGTGCGGCCATAATACTAGATTGTATGAATGAGGCTGTGCCCAATAAATTCATGAATTGTGGAATCTTCACGCAAATGAACACAATTGAATTGATTTGATAAATATACAGTATGTTTATTATAACTCACATAAACCATTGTAAAATAGCCAAACTTGTCCTTTTCGTCCACTTCCACATGAGTAATGAATTTCTCTACTTTTGAATCATCTTCGATATCAATTGAATTCTGTTAGAAATGAACAAAGAATTCAATTGAATGCAACAAATATAGTCATTTAAATACACTGATAGTGAGCAGAGGGTCTTGGTGTAACTGTTGAATGCCAGGCCTCTGGATATGATTGAAATCAAATGTCTTGAGGTAGTGTTGAATACGAGGGGTTCCGTCCCGAGAACTGAAGTCATCTACAGAATCGATGGCACTGTCGGTCGAGTCCTCCCTTCCCTGTAATCCTCTGATTGTAAGATTTGAGAGCTTTGGAGCCATAATTGAACTCAACTATTAAAACGTATAATAAACAGAAAATCTCTATTAAATTTAATATCATTTAACACAAATCTATTATGTAAACTTTAGATAAAGAAAATTTTAGACAAAACATTAAACTAAGGTGTTTATATAGAGAATTGTGTTATGGTAATGTGTACTGGTATATACCGTATATGCACTGTACCTCACCTTCAATGTATGGCATTATGTAAATTATATCAATTAATTTGTTTTAATTTAATTCAATTGCGAATTAGCGCTGAGTTATGTTTTGTTTCAAATGGGATTTATTTACCTATAAATGCCATATCATTGCTGAAGATAACACTAATTAAGTTTGCAAACAATAAGTTATGGCATATTTGGCCCAAAATATAGATTCCATGACTAACTTGTATTTCTTAATAAACTTTTATGTTATTATACATTTTAATAAACAATAATCTCACATTTTATGGGATTATTATGTTTTAGATGTGCTTACGAGATATATCTAGGCATAAATCTGTAAATCCGTGGGAATCATTTATCTTATAATAAAATCAAGAATAACCATTTAAATAAATTATAATATAATATATCAAAATTATTCTAATGTTTGCTTAGGTTCTGGATATAAATGAGATACAGTACTGTATATTAATGTACTCATATATTTTGAATGCAAGAGTTTATTTTGTAAACATTCATACATATATAGGACTGATAAAAGTAGTTTATAATATAATAAAAATATATAGTTACATATTTAAAATTAATAGCAAATGTAAAAATTCTAAAACAAATCCACAATTGTCGAAAATAAATGAAAACAAAATTAACCATTTTAGTTTTTCAAGGGTTAGTCATAGTACTTTTAACAGTAACTTCATTTTCCTTTGGAAGTTTAGACTTAACTGTTAAAAAATACAAATAAAATGTTATAATTGAAAATCTTATCAAGTACTGAACCGGTGCTGACCTGCGGGTACGTTATCATTAACACGCGATCGAGTGGTCGCTTCATTGTCTTAAAAATGACAGCAATATTACATTTATTAAAAGTTTATTTTTATATTCAATTGTCTGTTTGTGCAAAACCTAGTCCTTTGTGTACTTTATAGATCCAAGTGATGACAACACCAATTGAGATGCAAAGACCAATAATACTGATGGACAAAATCGTAATAATAATCCATTGAGTTACTGAAGATCTTACTGGACAGTCAATCAATACTTTTAGATCTTCAGGTTTGCACTAAACATACAAATTGAAGAATATTTACTATTGAATTCAAATGGAAGAAAATAATAAGTAAATTAGAGATTATGGTTATTGAGTGCTGCAGACAATCAGAGTTATAAAGTAATACTTAATTGGACATCAATTAAAGTTTTGCTTAATATTAAAAATAATGTGTAATGTACACCTGATTTTTGGCTTTAGATTTGTCCAGTGATTTATAACAATATTTGATGATTTGGTTGGATTGCACCAAAACAATGAATCCTTGTCCTAAGAAGGTTTTATCATTTATACGACTATCATACTCTTTACGACTATACTGAGTGATCACTGCAATCACATCCCAATTGTCGACAATGTTTTCATAAAGTGTTGGGAAATATGTCCGGTCATCTTCCCAGCCTATTACCTCTGGTTTTGCAATGTTTTTGAAGTCATACCTGAAAAGCTTTCTCTTTCCTCCTGAGACACCCAGAAAAAAGACGACACTTTTGCCCTTTTGGTTATCTATGGGTACGATCGCATACTTTGGGTCAAAAGCGGTCGTATTGAATGGGATTCCAGTTGTTTTGGGAGTGATTTCCATCGAGACATTGAGGTGATTGTCCAAAACTGCCCATTTGATGGTTGTCTTATTTGGGTACTTTTGAAGCAATTTTGAATATATTTTATAATTATTACTAAATATAAAAATCAATCTCATTCTCACCACAAGTCCGGTGCGAAACTCATTCTCGTACTTAATACAGAAAGCCATCGACCCGTCAGTAAACCAATTGCTTTGTAGACTCGTGTCGGCGATCTTCAGGTCTTTGTCCGTATCTCAGCGTCGGTGTACTCCAGGCGCCAGAAGTGGTCTTTAATGAACAGATAGTTGTCTTCGACTGTGTTATCAATTCTTCGGTAACCGAAAGATATTTTGTTTTCGTTTTGTATAAATTTTTCATAAAAATTAGCCGATTCTCCAAATGATACAAAAATTGTAAAAAATGCTGTTTTAAGAAAACAAGATTTATTATTTCTAAGATCCATAAAACATTAAACCTTTGAATAGTCTACCTATCACTGCAATGGTCTGCATCTTTGTGTTCAAAGTGTTCATTTCTTGAGAAAGTATTTAACGGCTTTATATTTAATCATCAATTTTCTACTTTTAATTACACTAAATAAATGTTAAAAATACAGTTATCTCGTGCCGTACTTTTATTGGAAATAATACACTTTATAACTGTAAAAATAAAATAAAATATAGCATAATTTAATGCATAAATTATATTAGGGGGCAAACACTATAAATTGTAAAACTAATTTTCAATTTGAAAATCTCATCGACCCTGGTGTTTATGGCAATGTATGTGTTGGCTGTCTATACCGAGATCATTGAGCGGACAGAAGATAATTATGTGGGACTCGAGAGACCGATAGTCATCGCTTACTATAGGTTTGCATCAAAAAGCACATCCAAAATGACAACCTATTGGCGAAACCGAATGCAAATCATTTCCAATGACCACAAAGACCTCATATTTGCCGTTTCAGACGCGGATCAGTTCAACCATCAACTCATTGAATATGGCTTTCACTTCAATTGCAAGAATCGTCTTGAATCTGATGCCATTGTAGTCGCCGAAGACGCCAATGAAGTCCAATATGTGTTGGATACCAAACTGGACACCAATTCTTTGTCAAAATTAATCAACAAATTCAAAGATCAAGAGTTGAATCCACACATTAAGAGCGAACCAATTCCTGATAATACAACGCCTGTCATAGAAGTGGTGGGAAAGACATTGAAAAAGTTGGTTTTGGACCACTAGAAGGATGTGGTGATCCTGATGTACGCTGATTGGTGTGGACACTGTCACGAATTGCTACCCGTTTGGCAGGAGTTGGACCAACAGATGGCAAATGAGCCAAATGTAGACATTCTTCAGATGGAAGTGACGAAGAACTGGACCCCTAAACCGTTTAAGACATTCAGTTATCCGACAGTTAATCCAATATATCGCTCACATGTCGACCAAACCTTTGCTTACTTATGATTCAAAAGGAAATCCTATCAACGATTCCAAAGAATGGGTGATTCTTAGGGGTGATCTTTAGACCTATTTGTGCTATTTTCTCACATTTGTCACATAATTAGTAATTTTATTTCTAAATACAATACATTTTATACTTCCTTTGATATTATTAGATATTATTCATTAGATTTAAATAAATAGTAATGTAATATAAAATGTGATTAATTACATAAAATACTAAATTTATACATTAAATAAAATTCATTTTAATTAAAAACCAATAACATTTTACTTTTTAAAATTTATGTTAAATAAACTATAGATGCTAATATTAATATTTATGTTTATTATTTACTAGTTTTAGTATTGATTTTCAGAGTTTGCTAACTTAGTCTTATAGTTATAGTAGACTACGCTAACATTATAAGTATGGTAAAATTGTAAACAATATAAATAAATCTTTGTGGTTATAAAAGTGTAATTTATACAGTACAACAAATTTATTGTAATAATTGTAATAAATAAAAGTTATAAAATTGACAAATTAATAATACAGTGCTATTGCTGTCATTTATAGCATTTCCCTTTACTGTAGTCTAATATAGTGTTTAATACACTATCGATAGTATTCTTAACAAACATCAGGTTCTCTTCACTGAGATTTCTGGTGTCATCAGTGGATCGATGATAGCTATGTCTCATA